ACGTTGAGCATCTCTTCATGCACTTCTGGGCTATTTATCTGTCTTCTTTTTTTGAAATATCTGTTCAAGTCATTTACCCATTTTTAAAATGAGTTGTTTATATTCTTATCATTGGCTGAAAATAAGTTCCTTATATATTCTGGTTTTAAGTCCTTCATCAGATTTATATATTACACATATTTTCTCCCTGTCTGTGGCTTGCATTTTTATTTTCTTAATGGTCTTCTGAAGTGCAGAAGTTTTCAGTTTTGATGAAGTCGAATTTATTGATTTTTTTCCCTTACATAGCTCACACTTTTTGTGTCTTATCTAAAAAATCTTTGCCTTCCTCATAGTCACAAAGACTTTCTCCTATATTTTCTTCTAGAAGCTTTATAATTTTAGTTTTTATGTTTAGGTTAAAGACTCATTTCTAGTTATATTTTGTGTGATTTGGGGGCGGGGTCAAGATTCATTTCCCCCCCATATGAATATCCAGTTGTTCTAGTGCCCTTTATGGAAGAGACTTTCCTTTCCTCATTGAATCACTTTGTCAAAAATCAGCTGAGCATATATGAGCATCGCAATTTTTAATACTATTAGAACTGAACTTTCCCAAGTCAGGTCATACCATTTCTGATCTCCTTTCCTTGGTGAGTCTATAAGGCAGATGACACTGATAGTTGGGCGAAGGAATCTATGTCTAACCTCTGTTTTTGTACATAGAACACATGATGTCTTCTGCACTTGTGGGTTACTTGCTTAACTTTCCTCTTAAGCTCATAACAGTACACTGTGTTGCGTGTTTGTGACAAGAGAGAAAGAAGCTTTCCGGATATACTATCTTCGTTTCTTGCAGCCCACGGATTTCTGCTTCTATTTGTTTCCTTGCACTGGTATTATCAGCCTGTAACTTGAGCTTCTAGAGAACTGAGGTCATATCTGTACATGTCATTTTGACTTGTGAGGCATCTAGCTCAGTGCCCCGGGCATGCGTGGACTTTTATCGGTAGCATTGAGGTTGTAGCGTACTCACTACCCCTCAATTTCCTCATCTGTATAAGGCACGAGGACTCATCTCTATCTAACTCAATTCGGTTCGGAACTGCGGGCTGTTCATATAAAGAAAGGCCATCTGATTGTGGTCGAGGAAGAAGACAGGACACTTTAACCAGGCTGATTGGTTCTCTTGGAGACTACCGATGTATGACATCTGGAACAAACTGTGGCCTGATCTTTGCTCCTATCACTTCTCATTCAGATCAATACTGGTCTGAATATTCTTTTTTTTTTTTTTTTTTTGGCCGCGCCGTGCAGTTTGCGGAATCTTAGCTCCCCAACCAGGGATCGAACCCCTGCCCGCTGCAGTGGAAGAGCAGAGTCCTAACCACTGGACCGCCAGGGGAATCCCAGGTCTGAATATTCTTTAGATTAACTGAAATTCAAAGGAACTGCTGTGTAGCCACCTCCAGCGTGTGCCTACAGACCTGGGCTATATCCGCATGCCCCTCTAGAGTTGACCCGCAGCCTGGGGGCATTCTGCGCCCTCTCCCTCACTCCCAACGTTTATGTGCGGGGAAATCCTCCTTGGCCAGAAAGTGAAGGCGAGAGACGTCATGAAACGGCAACATGCCACCCACCCGTGGTGAGATGAAGGATGCATGAATGTTGTTGCCTGAAGTGGGCCCGTGTTGCCACGGTGATGGAGGCGCGCTGACGCTAAGTGGATGAGCCGCAGCTCCCATGGATTTTAATAGCAGCTGGTCAGTGCCACCGCTTTCCGTGAATTGCTGCCCCCAAGTCGCTGCTTGGCCCCGGCTGTCCTGATCTCTGTTGACAAATGGTTGTCTTTACAGTCAAGCTACTAACTGCACTCTAATTAATGAACGTGCTAATTATTCTTCCCTACTCCCAGCGCATTTGTCCAACTAACCTGTCACACATGGATAAGTGCAGTGTCTGTGTCAGCACCGAGGACGCTGGGAGCAGGGGTCCGGGAGGAGAGGGTGTTGGGCCTACAGCCGGGACCTGTGGGCTCTTTCTCGTTCAACTACCTTTACTAACGGTCAGGTGTCCGGAAATATGTTAATTTCTTTCTTTTCTTAAAAAAAAACAAAACTCTTTAGGGGCTGAGCGGCCATTGGTCATTTCACTAGCCCCTGAGGGGATTGCCAGATTTGGATGCAGAAGGACCAGGGGCCCCAAGCTCTGAAAACTATTCCAGAAGCAGCATTCGGGGTGGATAACACCCCAGACTTTGAAGCTAGACAGGCCTGGTTTTGAATCCTAGGTCTGCCCCTTGCTTCCTGTGGTTTAACCGCTCTGCAGCGCAGTCTCCTCTTCTGGGCAATGGGAGGGATTATCTGGCCCCAGAGCGGTGTGTTGAACTGCACATGCACAAGCCAGGTCCCCAGGACACAGCTGCTCAGGGCTTTGGGTCCAGGATGGGTCTGGTCTGGTGTTGGCCGGACCAGGGCCGGCTCCAGGCCAGGAGACCATTCTGTTAGGAATTCGGCATCCGGCGCGGGCCGCTGCGCCCCTCGCGCCCCCTGCGCGCTCCTCCCCCGTGCCCCTGGCGTCCCTCTCTTTCTGTTCTGTCTCAGCAGCTCTCTGTTGAGATGAATGGCATTTCCAGAGGCTTCACCTCTGATAAGTGCTCCTCTGTAGCCGCAGCCAGAATCTTAATGTGCACGCTGTAATTTAATGGCCAGCTCGGCTGACTGTTAAAACGCTCTCCTCCTGGGTGAAGTGGACTCGCTCCACCTGTACGCGCGCCCCGCCCGAGCGGCGTGTCTCCGGGAGCTCAGACGTGTAGGTCCCACCACGCGAAGAGTGACCCTCTTCCCAGGCGCCTTCTCAGCCTTCTATAAAGTGGAGATGGCTGGGCATTCCGCTCCGCGCCCCCGCGCCCCATCCTGTTTGCGGGGCTCCTGAGGCTCGGGGAACAAGCCGAAGAGGCTGCTCCTTCCTGCTTTCCTGCGTTCCTGACACCTGGCAAGATCGCCACAGACGCCCTGGGCTGACCGCGTAGGATTCTGTTGATGCTGTTTTCTGTGTGCCTGCGCAAACTCAGACGCCACAGACATTAACACTGGAGCAGAAGGAGGTCAGGATGAGCCTTAAAGACATCAGGCTGTAAGATACAGAGAATTCTTTAAAGCTGGGCGTTTACAATCTGGGATTATAAGTGGTGAACAGTCACAACACAGCAGCAGACACATCGGGCACTCCTCACCCCACCCCTACCCTGCCCCAGTCTTTCTTTATGGAACAGTGTCCCTCAACCATGTGACAACTGTGGAAAGCACCAGGTCCTTTCATTTTCCTGCTGTCTGGTGGTCCTAGGAGTAGATATCTGACCAGCCTGGGGCCAATGGGATTGTCCTAATAGTTCACTGAGAAGAGTCAGCCCTTTACAGGTGACAGAGCTGTAAGACATAAAACTCCAGAGTTGGAGGTGGAGGTATTTTCCACTGTGGAGAAAACTGGTCTGCAGAGAGAACATGGCTGCTGAGTTGTGAGAAAGTGGAGAGAGAAAGAGAGAGATTGAGACAGAGAACTCCGTTTGAGAGGCCCAACCTCATCTCTCCTCTTTTCAGTGTTTGGTTGTTCAGTTCCTTGGATTCTTTGAGTCAATAAATTTCCCTTTTTTGCCCAAGCTAGCTGGAGCTAAGTTTCTATTGTGTGCAACCAGAGTACTTTTCAAGGAGCCTGGACTTCACTTCTGATGCACTGTCACTAAGACAGCAGGGGTCTTAGAAGGGCTAACACTTTATGGGGACCAGACCCCTTGTCTACTGGGACCTAAGCGTTCCCTGACACTTACAGATGAGATCTCGTTGAGGTGAACACACAAATCTTGCCAGCGCCCAGCCCCTAAGCCATCTTGTAAAGATTCCACACGTTGTGAAGTGCCCCAGGCACTCAGCAAGAGTTCTCAAGAGCATCATGACCAGCCAGGGCTGCCCTTGCTACTGGCCTCTGTGCATCCAAGCTCCAAACGCTTCGGTCCTCCATGGACCCTCATGGACCTCTTTCACTCAAGCTGGCCTCAGCTGCTTTAGGTATGAGGACTGTGTGATCTCTTCCCCACGCTGGCCTCTCCCACAGCAAGATGCAAATCCTGCTGCCACTAACTAGAGTGGCCCATGTTCTCTTTCCTTCTACTTTCTTTCTTTTTGTTGTTGTTGTTTCTGGCTGTGTGGCATGCGGGGATCTTAGTTCCCCGACCAGGGATCAAACCCGTGCCCCCTGCATTGGGATCGTGGAATCTTAACCACGGGACTGCCAGGGAAGTCCCCCAATGTTTTCTTTCGAAGTGAGGTTTTGATAAAAGCTCTTCTTCATCACTGCCAAATAGATGTTGAGGCTGGGATGAAGTTTGCAGAATCTTGCATTTTCTGTGTAACTTCCAAGGGCAGAAAACTGTCCTATAAGATGCCAGGCCACCACTTACCTCACTCAGCAGGTTCCCTCTTACACCTTCTCTCTACTCTTATTATTATGCTGAGAAGATTCCAGGGAAGTAGCTCAGTAATTACCTCAGAGAAGCCAGTGGTTAACAATCCTTCCTGTGTGGAAGTTTTCCTAGGTGACCGTCTTTCTGCTCCTTATCTAAGTTCTTTGGTTTAGTTTTAATTCTCTTGTTGCTTGTTTCCTGTGGAAACAGAGGCATCAGCCGTCCACCTCATCATCATTCATTCGTTCATCCAGGGCTTATTACTTGGTCGCTACTCTGCACCCCGCCACGTGTCAAGTAGTTATTTTTTTCCGAGGGATTCAAGGAAAGAAAGAAAGACAGTACTCTGGACACAGACCTTTTAGGTGCTCAATAAATAAAAAACATGCTTCACTTTTTCTTCCCTTCCTGCCTGTCTCCTGAGCCCTGCTTCTTCTGGCAGGACACGCTGAGCCAGGGTACTTTGGTGGCTATTTAAAAAAAAAAAAAAAAAGAAGAAGCGCTGGGACCTTTGGAAATTCTAATGATGAAAGGCAGAGTCCAGCCCTCACTTCCCCTTCCTGCACAGTGCGGGCCTGGGGTGCCACAGAGCTGCTCAGTCCTTGCTGGGAGCCTGAAACGAACATGGATTACGAAACCCTGGGCAATATTGTCCTGCTGGCCATCGTCACCCTCATCAGTGTAGTCCAGAACGGTAAGGGAATCCCCTCCCTCAGGGTAGAGTTTGTTTGTAGTTGTTTGAAAGTCAGGCTTACACAGTTGTGTGTGTGTGTGTGTGTGTACACTTTTGTCTTTATGTGTATTTGTATCTTTATTTGAATGTAGAGGGGTTTGTGCCTTTCTGCATGAATTTAGGTTTTTCCTTCTCCCAATCGTTCTTTCGCTTTAATGGGGATGATTAATCATGTCTGTAGAGCCAGGGCAGCAAACTGTATAAAAAACCGTCACTGGAGTATCTGCAATCAGCATTTTAACTATGAATTACTGTGGCCAGAGACCAGTTGGAGGGCAGGAAGGCTGGAAAGGGACAATCAGATATATGTTCACCCAGACGCTGGGTTCTACTAATTGCAGCTGGGCGCTCTTCACCTGTCACCTGTAGGCTAAAAAAAAGGAAATTTGTGTGGTGTGAGGGGGATTTCACCTTAACATTATTTTACCTCGGTATTGCTTTTTCTTTTTTCTTTTGAAGAAACATGTCCTTTGCAATACTTTCTTTTTCTCTAGCAATGCGTAATTTTTGAAGCATTTTTTGGTAGGCATTACGTACTTACATGAAGGGAGAGACAGACCGGAGAGGATTTTCTTGTTTGGGGTTTGCATTTCCATTAACTCTGCTATCACTTAAACCAAGCAAGAGACCTAGAACTGAAAACGCCAGGACTGGGTAGAACTTTCTCTTTAAAGTTCTGAGCTAGGACTGCCTCAGGCTCTCTCTATCAGTACGGCCAGTGTCTTTGGGCTTTGCAGTTTACGAAGATAGAGAAAAAAGGAGAGGAATGACGAAGGGCGGCGCTGTAACTTAATGGTAATTACTGAATGTTCACACCCTGGCACACTTTGGAAACTTGGGTGTTCAATCAACTGGGCATATTCGGATATTTTCCCCCAACTCGAGTGTGGACAGAGGCTGGTGATGGGGGAGGCTGCCCGTGGTCTCCCCGCACCAGAGAGTGGCCAACTCTGCATACTCCGAGTATGTTTCCTCCGTGGAACAACACGTTTTGTTTTTCGTTTTTGAATTTTATTTTATTTATTTTTTATACAGAAGCTTCTTGTTAGTTATCTATTTTATCCATATCAGTGTATATATGTCAATCCCAATCTCCCAGTTCATCCCACCGCCACCAGCCCTCCCGCCACTTTCCCCCCCTGGTGTCCAGAACAGCACTTGACAGCTTTCTGACCCAAACATTTTCATTCTAAATCTCACACAAGCGAGTTGCAGCTCAGAGAGGGGACGAGGGGCCGGTTGAGGCTGCCACAGTCTCAGGCCATTGCTGTTTCATGTTGGGGCTCCCTTAGTCTTGTCAGTCACCGAGGGATTCATTCATTGGACCTGCATACACCCACAGGGACCCTGCTCTGTCCAGGAAGGGTCCCGCATCCATGAGGATGTAGCAGTGAACAAGAAAGCTAGGTTCCTGCCTCCCAGGAAAGGAAAGGCTGGCAGGAAAAGATGGGCAGGCGGTAAGCAGGAAGCCTGCAGTGATGCTTCCGGTGCCCGTGGAGGCAGTTGTATGGGTGCAGGTGGGCGCCGCTTGTTCAGCTCTCCCCCTCCGGCCCTCCCCCGGATACCTGTCAATCTCGGTGACAGTGGACGGGAGCCAGGGTCCCCTCGGCCGCCTGTGCAGATGGGGCTGAGCAGAGGTTCGAGTGCACCCTGAGCTGCTCCCTGTTGGTCCAGGCCGAGTCGGGGGAAGCTGGAGGGTCTCCTCCCGTGAGAACAGACTCTTTTCATCATGAGATGCCCCAGGACCTGGCCCTGGTCTGTCCAGGGGGTCCCGGGCTTTTCCATAGAAGCACAGCAAACCCGGAGCAGACTTGAGGTGGACGGTGAGATTTCTAATTATCTTTGGCAGGTGAGATTAAGTCTTCTTCTTCGGTGCAAAGGGGGAGGAGAGATTACAGATGGCCGCATGTCTGAGTTTGAACCGCAGTCTTTCGGCCAGCCATTTCAGATAGATAACGACAGGGCACAGTGTTCTCCCTGACACAGTCCCGTGAACTGAAGAGGCTTCCTGGTGGGGGAGAGACAAGTGTGGACGAGCTACTGCTTTGGGCTGGAGACTTTTCATCCTGGGCACACAGATGATTGGAGCGCACGCGTAGCGGTGTGGACAGCACGGCCCCAGCATCACAGCCCCTGTCCCTCCCCATCCAATCCCCCCAATTCCCTTTCACAGCGTTGTCCCACCCGCGCTCAGGGGAGAAGACATGCTGCTGCCCTTTTGAAGCCACAGAAGGAGCCCTTGCCTCCCGCTCAGAGGCTTAGGATCAGCCCCGCTCCCCTCTGAGGCAGAGACCAGGGCTCCCGTGTGATGCTGAGATCACCCTGTGAGGACTTTTTGTTTCTAACTGTTAAATGTGCCCGTGCAGGGAAACAAGAACAATGCAAATGACTTGGAAGGTAACACCTCTACCTGTTTTAACCGTTGAGTTTTTAGGCAAACACAAAGGTCCAAATGTAGGTCCAGAACTTCTCTTTGCAATTCTAATTAACCTCGATGTTGCAGCCACGGGTCTACCTTATTGAGTGCGGAAAATATGCAAAAACTCTGTCCTACCCCAGTTACATTGGATGCCCTTTCTGTTAGCTTTAGGAACTATTCACATGTTGCTGCCAGGCGTGGCACACTCTGTCTTTGTCCCAAGACAAGGAGGTCAGTCCCCGTGTCTGTGACAGTGTTGGAGAGCTCTGCGCTCTCGGTACACTGTGTGAGCCCGATTCCCCAGGGGAAGGGCCAGAGCCCACCCGCCTGGTGGAACCTCCTCCTCTGCCTCCCAGACGCTCGTTAGTCATCAGGATCTTTGAGCTCGTGGCCCTCTTCCAGCTTGATCCAGCAGAACCCACGTTTGGAAATGCAGACCAAGTTTAGAGTACCTCGTTCCAAGAGACCTGGACCAGAACTGCCAAAACCTGGTTTCCCAGGGAGTGTAGAGAGATGGATTTCCTATGCGTAGCACCCAGAGGGCCTCCAACTTCTTGGCCAAGGTGCCAGCAGCTTGGCCATGAAGCAAACCTGGGAAACACAGATTTAGAGAGAGTGATTTCCATAGGAAGCCAAACTAATTAGACTGGGAGGAGAGGGTGAGCTGCGGGGAGGGACCCAGGCCTCGTGCGCGGAGGCCTGAATGGTGACAGCAGAAATCTTCTTTACAGCATCCTCAAGAGCCCCTACTGAACACTCCCCTGACGGAGGGCTCACAATGCACTGGCCTTGCCCTTCCCATTGTTAAGTGTATTGAGAATCTGCTTTGTGTCAAGTATGGTGCTGGGCATAATATTATCTCATTTAATCCTTGCACCCTATGAAATATATAGTATTATATTTCTTTGTTTTTATTTTTAATTTTTTTAAAACATCTTTATTGGAGTATAATTGCTTTACGATGGTGTGTTAGTTTCTGCTGTATAACAAAGTGAATCAGCTATACATAAACATATATCCCCATATCTCCTCCCTCTTGCGTCTCCCTCCCACCCTCCCTATCCCACCCCTCTAGGTGGTCACAAAGCACCGAGCTGATCTCCCTGTGCTATGCGGCTGCTTCCCACTAGCTATCTATTTTACATTTGGTAGTGTATATACGTCCATGCCACTCTCTCACTTCATCCCAGCTTACCCTTCCCACTCCCTGTGTCCTCAAGTCCATTCTCTACGTCTGCATCTTTATTCCTGTCCTGCCCCTAGGTTCCTCAGAACCATTTTTTTTTTTTAGATTCCATATATATGTGTTAACATACGGTATTTGTTTTTCTCTTTCTGACTTACTTCACTCTGTATGACAGACTCTAGGTCCATCCACCTCACTACAAATAACTCAATTTCGTTTCTTTTTATGGCTGAGTAATATTCATTGTATATATGTGCCACATCTTGTTTATCCATTCACCTGTCAGTGGTTGCTTCCATGTCCTGGCTTAATTCACAGGTAAGCAAAGTGGAGCTTGGAGAGTTTAGACCATTGGTTGGAGGTTCCAGAGCCAGTAATGGTGAAACTGGGACTCAAACCTGCTCCAAAGGGTAGACCTTTACACAGTGTATTTTGTCTCGAATTCATTCATTCAAACTCTCACTACTCAGGAAGTTCTCTCTTATATGGAACTGAAATCTGCTGCCTTATAATTTCTATCCACTGGTGTGTCTGTTCTTTGGAAAAGCTTAGACTGTGCCTGCTGCTTCTGTGTTTACGAAGTCACCTGTAACATCCCTTCTTCAATGTATCATTCCTCATATGACTTGGTTTCCAGAGTCCCTTGTCATTGGGTTCCCCCTCCTACCCCACTCCCCGACTTGCCATGTTCTTTCTAAGATGCAGGTGGGTGTTTTCCATGGAGGGAAACCGTTCCCGAGATTCAGACAGCAGTTCTGTTAGAATAATGGATGTGTGAATTGTTCTTTCGTATCACGCTGCTGGCTCATACTAACTTAATGAAACTCTCAAGAGCTTTTTATGTGATCCTGAGAAAGTTATTTACCTTCTCTGACCACCAGTTTCCTCAACAGAGAGATGGAGTTACTAATATCTTCTATGTGTGATGGTTGAAGGTATTGCCTGGGATAATTACCATAGGTAGAGTAGCCAGCAGAGCCCAGCATGGGGTACCGTTGCAGCTTCTCTCTCCGTGTCTCTCTCTGTCTCTCTGTTTTGGCCTAATGTTAGCAGCCAGAGAAGTGTGTGAGTGGTCTTTGCGTGCACAGTTTCTGTAACGTGGTCAAGGAAGATAAGAGTTGGAGTGTCAGTGTTTGGAGGAGTGGACAGAGGTGGCCCAACTCTTTCAAGTGTAGCTTAGAAGGAGGGGGAGGTAGACCCTAAAGGCAGGCTTGTTTCTCTTTTGTTTTGAGGGTAGGAAAGATCTGAGTGTGTTTCAATGGTAAGGATTAGGAGGAAAACAGAGATTGAAGGTTCAGGAAATGGGGCAAACACTGATGAACAAAGACCCGAAGAGGGTGGCAGAAGCAGTGTCAGGGTTGCAGGAGGAGGGCTAAGGCTTGGAAAAGAGGAAGGGGTTTGTTCTCAGGCAAGGAGAGGAAGAAGAGAGGCAGACTCGGAGAGGGACGGCCACGCTGTGCAGTTGGTTGCAGAAATAACCTCAGACTTTCTTAAACGGTCTCTGTTTACATGTTCAGGGGCAAGGGGTGTCACCTTGGGTTCTGGAAAGACAATGATCAGAATTTTCCACTGTATTCTATGGTAAGAAGGGACGTCCAGAGTGGACAGTTGGATACTTAAACCCTGTGTAGTTGATGGAATCCCTGAAGTGAGCTTCTATGTGATAGTAGGAGGATAACCACACCCTCGAATGCCCAGCTGGAGTTGAATCCCAACCTCCTGCTCCCCAGTGGAGTGACTCTGAGAAAGTTATTTAACCTCCCTGAGCCGTAGGGCCCTTGTCTACAAAGTGGGGACAGTACCACCCACTTCACAGAGCTGGTGCCAGGCCCAATAAAGGAGCATATGTCCAGTGCCTAACAGAGGGCCCTCAGACAAGCCAGCCCTGCAGCTCTGCTCAAAACGGGCACAGTTCTAGGAGAGGAATGTACTCTTGACAAAAAGGAAAACGTGAAGACTTTTATTCATGTACACAATGGATAAGGCATCCTTTTCATGTCTTTTTGAGGAGGCTAAGAGGAAGTTGATGGAAAGAAACCCTGTGAGTGGGTCCCTGACAATCACACTTTTCCCTTTCTCACTCTTGAAATAGGAGGAAAGGAATAAAATAGGAGGGGTGAGAGAGAGAGAGAGAGGGAGGGAGAGACCTTTATCCCGCCATCCCCACCATCCAGCCTACAGACTCTGTCCCCTCAGCATCTCTTAATCCCACAAGCATCACCCTAACCAGCTCCCTTCTGTCTTTCCCCTGTCCTGGGTCTCACCCCTTTAAACACTCACCATGCTAAAGACAGAGTGGCTTTCTGGCAATGCCACTCCTCAACTTACATCTGTCAGTAACTCCTTGTTGCTCTCAAGATGGAAATAAATTCAGAAGCTCTTAACGTGGCTGTCCTCAAGGTCACGGTCATGCTGCTAAGTCCGGCAGGCACTTCTCAGCCACCGTCTTCTTCAGCCTTGGTTCACTTACTGCTTTCTCCCTGGGGCTCCCTCCGGCCACCCTGTCTGCACCCACAGCGGCCCCTGTCGTGCTGTGCCTTCTCTTTTGTCCACAGCTTGGCACACTGTGTCGTTTTAATTTTTGCATTTTGTTTACTGTGTGTGGTCTGTCTTCTCTTCTTGTATCCTCGCCAGAACGTAAGCTCCAGCTCCTCAGGCCAAGGCTCTTTGTGTGTTTTGTTCTCAGACGTAAGCTGAGTGTCTGGCACATGGCAAGTGATAACAGAGAAATGTCATTGAAAGAACAATTCACCACCTACCTCTTCGGTCTCATTTGTAATTGTACCAGGTTCTACTTCCCCACCACCAATAAGCTGGATGTACTGAACCCCAGAGGTTCTTGCCTCTGGACCTTTGCACATGTCATTACACTAGAGTGGAGTGGTCTCCTCTGCTTGCCACGCTTGTTCTTCAGATTTTATCTTAAATATCACTTCCTCTAGGAATCCTTCTGTGTCCCAAACACTGAATTAAGTTGCCCCCTTGGACCCTCGATGGCTCTGTATTCTCACTCAGTCTGATCTTAGCACGAGTCACTCTATAGTGTAATTTCTTTACTTGGTTGTCTATTTCTTCCGACTGTCGGATCCTTGAAAGTGAGGGTCGTGTCTTACTCACCATTGAGTCACCAACACCAGATGCAGTGATTAATGGAGGGTAGCTGCTGAATGAATGTTTGCTCAGTTACATTTGATGGAGGACATTTAGGGCTCTTTAGACGTCACGTTAAGGAACCGTCTAACATTCTAGTAAAATAATGGGATACGAGGCTTGTGGATGTTCCCCGTTATAAACCACATCCAAACCTTTCCCCCTGGCAGGGTTCTTTGCCCACAAGTTGGAGCACGAGAGCAAGACCCATAATGGGTGGAGCTTCCAGAGGACGGGGACACTTGCCTTTGAACGGGTCTACACTGCCAAGTGAGTCCAAACCCCGACACTGCTAACTGACAGAGAGGGGGAACGGGGCTGCATGTCTGTCCGGGCTAACCTTCCAAAGGCCGGGGAGGCGAGGTTCCCAGGGAAGCTTGAACTTCACCTGGGAGACTTTGGGGGCACTTTTCATCATCTTAGCAAGTGCTGGTGTGTAAAAGAGAGGAAGCGGGGCTGTGACGTGGCGGGATGGAGCTCCGCCTGTTCGGGGACCTCTCAGCCAGTCATTCAGTCGTGGAGTTGACCGATTTTCTGGGGCGTTAGTCCAGAGGGGCTGCCGGGAAAACCAGCCGTCGCTCACCAGCCAGCTTCGGAAGCAGCAGGTAGGACCAGCTGGCAGCTGCCCGCAGCCCCTCTGGTCCCCTCGATGGGGTCTGGAGGGGACTCTAGTGCGTTTCCTGAGCCAGGTCTCCTGGTGCAACCAGAACAGAAAGAATGGGGGAATTATGCAATGGCTTCCCCACCTCTGCTGCTTGCCTTCCGAATGAAAAGGCTGTTTGAAAACACCTGAAGAACTCGGTGAAGGAGGCGGGTGCTACGTGGGATGCAAATCCAACATTCATTTCCCTCCGTGCTGAGCGCATTCAGACAGAGGGTTCAGCCAGCGGCCTGTCACCTGCTTCTCTGAGCCTGTGATTGGCCTGTGAGAAAGGGAGGCTGCAGCTCTGAGCTGGCCTTCAGTCTCGGCTTGGAGGCGACTTGGATGTCTCCAGAGATCCTTCCAAAGTGGGAGTCGTGCCCACACAAGCAACGGCAGGAATAGCACAAGCAAATGCAGCCCCTCGAGGCCCCTCTGTCTCCCGTCGGCCCCAGCCCCTCAGACCCAGCACTCCTGCGCAGTCAGATTCCGAGGAAATCCCTTCCTGAACTACTTACAGGGAGATTTCCATCTTAAGATTCGGACCTTCGGTGTGTTCATTCTCAGAATCCATCGAAGAAGCGTAAGGATGTGATTTAAGCCATATTAGATGTTCACATTTACAGGACGTGGAGGAGAGTGTGTGCGGTGCCGTCAGCCCCTCTGTGCTGTTTGCAGGGGAGATGGGAGAGGTCCCCTCAGACACACCCACGTGCAAGAGTGCAAGAGGGGCAAAGACAGTGTCCTCCGTCAGGGGTAACGCCAGAACCTCCCCCCACGTGGAATCCAAAAGAACGTGAATACCATTCTACCTGTTCGGAAAGAGAAGCTTCTTCCCGCCCAGATCACTACGTTCTCACCGGCTGCCCCGTGTTCTTAGGGGCACAGCTGGGCTCGTCTGGAGAAGTGACGCAGGGCTGCATGCAGCGGAATTTCTCGGTACCGGGTGAGAAGCTAAGTTTCCATCCTGCCGAAAATGAAGAAGAACAGGGGCAGGCCAGGCCGCCTGGTGCCTGCCATTTCCCCCAGGAGTGAACTAGCTCTGCGTCTCAGAAGACGCCTCGCTGACGCCTGGTCCCCGCTGCCAGCCTCCAGGTGGCGTCCCTGACGTCCGAAGGCGCTAGAGGAGAGTGGTGGGTGATTGGTGCCTCCTGGGGGTCCCCACCGCATGGGTGCTGCCGCCCAGCTCCCAAACCCACGTGACTTTCCCACTTACCCACCCCCGAGAGAGGGCCAGAAGAGGGAGGGGAGGGGAGAGAGCTGTGGAGAGGTCGGAGCTTTGGGGGGGGAGGGAGAGGAGGGGAATTTTCTGTAATTAAAAGGTTGCCCAGACACTACTGTGGTTCTGTTACAAAGACTACTTCCTCCCTGACCCAGCTGGCAGCGCCCTGTGTGTGCCTGAGGTGGGTTGTGGAAGGTGCTGAAGGTCAACACAGAGGCTGCCGCCTGCTGGCGACGCCAGGAGCCCCCAGTCTGTGCGCCCCAGCCAGGAAGCTACCAGGAAGGGCCTTACCTGTTAGCCCGGTAGAAAGTCATCCCCAGTGATAGCTTCTCCAGGGGCGTCCAAAAGCACCAAAGAGGGGCACAAGAAGAGCCGTAGGGGTGTGAGAAGAAAAGAACATGTATCTTATGTTGCTATCTAAAAAATAAGAAATTGAACTTTACTCAGTTTTAATATACAGATTGAGAGTAGGATGTGTATATAATTTGTACATAAATACACCCGTCATAGGGTTGCAGGATCAAAACTCTTGGTTGATGGGGTGTGGGATCATACATGTTTAGAGACTGCATAAAGGGAAAAATAGCAGAAAGAATGAATGATGCTGGTGGATTGAAATGGCTGATGCATGTTTTTCAGCATAAAGTATGACTGTTGAGTGATACAGAGAGTTCAAGATTTGGGGGCTGTTGGTAAACAGACGTCCCAGCCAGGTGAGGCCTTCAGCTCAGACTCAGCCTCGGTTAGTGGGCTGCTCTTCCACCCATCTCCCTCGAGGGCAGAGCTGAGTCAGGGTTTGAGAGTTGAAAGGATCTCGACCTTGACTCTCTCTTCATGTGTCTAAAGCATAGGTCAAAGCCCTGTTCCCAGTCGACGAGCGCAGCCAGAGCCGTCAAAGTTTGATTTTTGGAGAAAAGTCTCAGTTAACTGACCTAAGATTCTTCTCCATGAGTGTGGGTGAGCACAGGTTGTGGAGAGAAGATGGGTCTCTGCAGATGTGTCATTTTCCAAAATGTGACCCATAGATTACAAGTTCATGGGCTGTTAACAGGTGTTAAAGAAAAGAACAAGTTCTGTACAGCAAGACTTTTGAGAAACTTTAAAGTACTAAGTGATTCCTGGTTCTACAAGAAGGGGAGGTCTTATTTAACTACAGACACCCCTCCTTTTTTTTTTTCTAGAGCATAGCAAAGGTTTAGTGTTTCACAAGATGCATTTTGCTAAATGACACCCTGAGGTCCCTTCTCCCCCCACACTTCTCAGAATCCACTCTGGACCAACTTCCAAGTAGCAGGGACTTGTGAATGGTTTGAAGGTGGTACATCTACGTTGGTTCTATCCATTAGTACTGATACTATTACTGTTATTATTGATATTTACTTATTTACATATGTATTTATTTAAAGTTCTATTGCAATACAGTTGATTTACAATGTTGTGTTAGTTTCAGGTGTAGAGCAAAGTGATTCAGTTTTATATATATATGTATATATACACACACACATATATTCTTATTTAGATTCTTTTCCATTATAGGTTATTGCAAGATATTGAGTATAGTTCCCTGTGCTATACAGTAGGTCCTTGTTGGTTATCTATTTTATATATAGTAGTGTGTACATTTTAATCCCAAACTCCTAATTTATCCCTCCCATATTTACTTATTTTAAATAAACCCAAATTAACTAGCAAAACATTAAATGCTTCTATATCTCATTCCTAAAGGTGGAGAAAAATGAAAGGGAAAATTGCAATGAATCCTTTTCTCCATAAAAACACTGGCAGTGCGGTGCATCCAATTGAACACAGCACAGTGAATTGTTGAGAGATCTGCTGAGTAGCTCGTAGTTAAGACCTCAAGAAATGACAAGTGGGTTTGTCAGTTTTGTCCTGCAGAAAAAATGGCACAAAAGAATATTTGGAATAACAATAATTTGTCAGTAGGAAAGACATTTCCATTGGGGGTTATAGGAAGGAAGAGGTTGGAGGAATAATAGCCACCATTTATTGAATGCTTACTATGAGCCTGGCACTGCTTTCTCTCATTTTATTCTCACAACAGCCAAGGAGGTATCCATAAATACTCATGTCTCCATTCACCTTCAATTGATGAGGAGACTGAAACTCAGTGAGGCTAGGAAATGCACCCACAATCGCACAGACAAAAAGTGGCAGCCGGGAGACCTTCAAGATGGTGGAAGCGTAAGACGTGGACGTACCTTCCTCCCCACAAATACATCAGAAATACATCTACACGTGGAACAACTCCTACAGAACACCTACTGAATGCTGGCAGAAGACCTCAGACCTCCCAAAAGGCAAGAAACTCCCCACGTACCTGGGTAGGGCAAAAGAAAAAAGAAAAAACAGAGACAAAAGAATAGGGACGGGACCGCACCAGTGGGAGGGAGCTGTGAAGGAGGAAAGGTTTCCACACACTAGGAAGCCCCTTCACGGGCAGAGATTGCGGGTGGTGGAGGCGGGAAGCTTCAGAGCCGCGGAGGAGAGCACAGCAACAAGGGTGCGGGGGGCAAAGCGGAGAGATTCCCGCACAGAGGATCGTGCCGACCGGCACTCACCAGCCCGAGAGGCTTGTCTGCTCACCTGCCGGGGCGGGCGGGGCTGGGAGCTGAGGCTCGGGCTTCGGTCGGATCGCAGGGAGAGGACGGGGGTTGGTGGCGTGAACACAGCCTGAAGGGGGCTAGTGCGCCACGGCTAGCTGGGAGGGAGTCCGGGAAAAAGTCTGGACCTGCCTAAGAGGGAAGGGGCCACTGTTTTGGGGTGCGCGAGGAGAGGGGATTCAGAGCGCCGCTTAAAGGAGCTCCAGAGACGGGCGTGAGCCACGGCTATCAGCGTGGACCCCAGAGACGGGCATGAGATGCTAAGGATGCTGCTGCCGCCACCAAGAAGCCTGTGTGCGAGCACAGGTCACTATCCACACCTCCCTTCCCAGGAGCCTGTGCAGCCCGCCACTGGCAGGGTCCCGTGATCCAGGGACAACTTCCCCGGGAGAACACATGGCACACCTCAGGCTGGTGCAATGTCATGCCGGCCTCTGACACTGCAGGCTTGCCCCGCATCCAT